ATATGCATGACTCATCCCATAGAAAAATTACCAAATATAGATACGATTTTGTATTAAAAAAAGGCTTAAAATAATTTACGCAAAAAAGGGAATAAACATATCCATGCCTAAAACAAGATTAGTTTATTTGAGTACATTGTTTAAAATTTCGTGTAATCATAAAAATTAACGATACCATAAAGTAAAGATACACCACAACGTAAAATAAATTCAATAAATTCGCAGCTTTAAAGGTTAATTATAAATATAGAAAGGATAATTCATTGATATATTATTCTAATAAAATAAACGTTTAAAATATAATTAGACTCAAATTATACCAAACAGATTGCCGGTTTAAATTTTCAAAAAAAATTATGCTGCGCCACACATAATATTTATTAAATATACAAGCATCGTAGTATTTAGAACTTGGCCTCATTTAGGAATGGGCTATGTTATCATGATGAGTTGAATTGTCCAGCTTACTTTTTCATTTTGTTTTAAACGTTTTGGTAAATCTAAGACTGTATTCGACCGGTTATTATCTAGAATTGCTTAGCGAGGCTGTGAAACAAAGCCTTATTGTTCACAAAATCACAAAATAATTAGATAATTTCTCCGAACGCATTATATTAAATTAATCACAATATATGATACTATATTATTAAACTTTTCAGTTTTTCTGTTCAATGAATAACAATTGACGAGTAACATAATTTATTTTATTTCAAAAGTACAAAAGATTGTAATCACGATTCTTTAATCACCTTCATATTCCCATCATCTTTATATGATTTTAGTTTTAAAGTGTAAATAATTTTAAAAATTATTAGTTTTTACAATATTAACATCATCATTGTCAACATAATCTCCATTATCATTTGTTATTTTTTTAAATCAATTTATTAGTATTTTAAAATTCTTAATTATAAATTATAATAATTTTATAATTTTCATGATTTAATTATTTTACCACCAAATTTTATTTGAAAAATCTAAGCATTTTAACAAAGTTTTTTAATGAAAATGGAATTGAAGGCCAAATAAGTAAATTAATTTATTTTTAAAAAATTTAATTTTATAATAAAAGTCTTATGATATATGAAAGAAATATTTAAATTAATCTTCTATTGATTTTAAAAAAATTTAAAACTAATTCAAATTTCATATATTAAATAGAAAATATAAAAGGATTATAGCAATGTTATTTTGACTAAGTTTTACAATTAAAAATGTGAAAATTTTGATATAAATAATTATTAAATAATTTTATTTAACTAAAATCCTTTCTATTCAAATTTCATAATATAAAGGATTTTAGTATATGTTATTTTAACCATTTTATTTGTATTTTACAATTTAATAATATTTGATTATTAAAAAAATTTATTAAACTAATATCTAATTTTATGATACATTTATTTTAATAAATTACATTTTAATTTTTAAAAGTTAGCTAAATCAATATTATATTTCAAAGATAATTTATATTATGATTTTTATTTTAAAAATAATAAAAGGCCAATATTCAGTTTTTTAAAAAAGTGACGAAATATAAATTGAATTAAAAATTTTATATTTAGTAAAAAATTACATATTTAAATTTATCAAAAAAAATCTAATAAATTAATAATCAAATTTACATATAGCTGATAATCAAAGAATTAGTAAAAGCTAATTTATTAATATAACTTGCTATTTAAAACTCAAATAAAGTATTATTATTTTTTCTAAAATATGTTATTATACATGTTATAGTAATTATTTTACCTAAACTTAATACAAAATTTGAAAAATGTAATATGAAAGGTAAGTATATAATTACATCATTACGCAATTTATAATTTTACCAAAATTAAGAATTAAACTAAATTTTAACGATTAAATTTCACTCAAAATTTTAATATATAAAAATAATTTCCTGCAATAAATAATATTATAGAAAATCATCAGATCTACAAGTTTATAATATATCTTATTTAGTTTTATAATCTTGTAATATTTTAAAATTATTGATAATTATGCTAAATATTTAATATAAATTAATTAAAAATGTTAATTATTAAAAATTACATAACTTTAATTAACAATAAAATATTAAAATACTTATTTCAATTTTTAAATAATTGAATTTAATGTATATTTCTATATTAATTACATGTTATATGATAAATATCATAAAAGGAAATTATGTGTCTTTATGCATAAAGATTACATAAAACTATTATATACTTATATATTAAAAAAATATTAAAAGTTTTATTATTTATATCTTTTATAGTTAATTAAATTTCTATAATTATGACTTTTGTAATTAATTACTATTCCTATAATTAATTATATTTACAAGTATTAAAATTACCACTTCGTAATTAATTTCACAATTACATTTTTTTTAAAAAAATGGTAATTAATTTCTATAATTACATAATATATATATATTTACATCAGGAATATTCTTAATATAAAGTATACACTACTCTATAATAAATTACCGGATTTTATAAATTTTACTTAGTAATATATAGTAAAATTGAAGATCTTTAGGTTGCATAAAAGTTTACAAGTTTCAATAAAAGTCATCTGATTTTTTTTTTATTTGATAGCTGATCAATTATAGTTTTTAGATATTAAAATGAAAAAAGAAATTTTTTAGAACATAAAAAAATTTTCTCATATTGAAGTATAAACAACAATTTTTTTATATGTTTTTTGTATCTTTATATATAAAATTATGTTGTCTATTACTTTACAAATGAGTATTTTTTCAGTATTTTATAAATAGAATATTTTTGAATTATATTTTTAAAATTATAATTGATTGGTTATTAAATAAAAAAATTTAGAGTGAAATTTATTAAAAATTAATAAACTTTTATGTAATCTGAAAATCTTTAATTTTACTATATATTACTAAGTAAAATTTATAAAATCCGGTAATTTATAGTAGAGCAGTGTAGAGTATATCGAAATTTGTCACCTCGAGAAATGTCGAATTGTCGATGATAAGGAGTTATACTCTTTTCGCTACTCCTTTCGTCATGACATCTTTCGTCACCTATTTGCTAATGTGTTGAAGACTTTTCGGTTATTTTCTGACAGGAAGCTGATGATACCTGCAGATCCCAGTTATCAGCTTCCATAATGGCACTTCTAACCATACTAGCGGTTGAGGTTTTACCATGTTGATGTTCGTCTTCGATCCTGTAATTAAGCAAAACATCATAATCTCCACCTGATCGAGTTGAAGATTGAGGTTGAGTTTTTTTGGAAAAATTTGATGGCACTAATAATTTGAATGGTCATTCATTTGCTGGATCCTGCTGACGTGAAGATTTCAGTATTTCTAATTGACTTTTAGTTGCCAGAACCTGCCGACTTGATATTTCTTGACTACTTATATTTAGTGCCAAAACTTGTCGATATGGTGTTTCTTAGCTACTAAGAGGCATTGTTGTCAGAACCCGCTGTTGTGTTTCTTGGCTACTTAAAGGTATCAAAGTTATTGTTGAAACCTGCTGACGTGAAGTATCTGCCGTTTCTTGGCTATTATAAGTTTCTATTACTCCCTGAGTTTCTTGTTGACCCATCACTTCATGGTGGCGTGATGGTTGACAATGTACTGCTGCAGCCTTTTTTTAACTCATATTTCTAGTCATATTTGCGACGAAATATTATTTGATAAAAGCAAGAAAATGAGAGAGACGAAATATTATTTGTGAAAAAAGTGAGAAAACGATATATGCAAAAGAGAGATGAAATATTATTTTTGGCGAAAGCTAAACAAAATATTGTTTGTGAGAAGATGTGAAAATTTTTTTGTCGAAAGAGATTTGAAATGTTATTTGTGATAAAATATTGAAGAGTTTGATTAAAAATAGTTTGAGGAAAATGAATCTTTTTATAAGCTTTCGGTTAAATAGAGTTTATTTTAATAGTAAAATACATTGCATGTAATTCATATAACTTTTGACTTTAAATGAGATTAATTTTTAAAAATTTCAATTACTATGCGGTAATTGATTCAAATTTTGATTATAATGCGGTATTCTTTTAAATTTCGATTTAATGCAATTATTCTTTTAAGTTTCAATATAATATGTGATAATAATTTTAAATTTTATTATAATGTGATAATTGATTCAAATTTTGATTACCATGCGGTATTCTTTAAGTTTCGATTTAATGTAATTATTTTTTTAAGTTTCAATGTAATGTGCGATAATAATTTTAAATTTTGATTATAATGCGATAATTCATAAAAATTTCAATTATCATGTGGTGATTGATTCAAATTTTGATGATAATGTAGTGATACAATTGTAATGCGATCATTATTTTAAGTTTCAGAATATAATGCTTTAAATTTCAATTATCATGCGATTATTGTTTTAAGTTTTGATTATGATGCAGAAGTCAATTATTATGCAAATACTAATTTAAATATTATTCCGCTGCAGTATCTATATTAATTGTTTCATTTTATATATATAAATCATTCATTGACATTAACAAAAAAACAGCAATTTTTAATTTTCAAGATGATAAGAAATAGGTCTATTTCGAATATCATTGGTAATAAGCTGATAAAACAACTATCTCAAATAAAAAAAGATAACAAGGTTCCTTGTTATTATAACAAGTGTAATGGAAAATTAGCTCTAAATCAGACCAAACTTTTCATGAATCGACAAGTGGTTTATCAACAATTTGTGGTGATTCTACCATTGAACAATTATTTCCAAATTTCATGAATTAATACTTGATACTGGATCACCTGCCGAAATTGAATTACAGGCTTCGAGGAGTAAAATAATTAACGATGAATCACAAGCTTCAAGAATCAAAATGACTGAATGTCATTCTAAATTACTGAATTATATTGAAGGTGTACAAGAAAATATATAAGTCATCCGCAAGCTACTGACGATTTGAGTGATTCTGAAGATGAATAACATACCGAGTCTTCTTTAAGCGATAATTATGAACATAACGAAAGACGACATATCAAATCTCCTATGAGTGAAGACGAATGTGAATTCAATGATTTACTAATTTCTGAAATTTTTGAAGATTATTCGCCACCGAAATATGAACCATATCAAGATGAAGAAGGGAAGTAACAATTGATAATCAATTTGCATAGATTTTATTATGGATAATGAACTTTTGAATTAGATTTAAAGCACCTGAGACTGCAACAGATTCTCTAATAAAATTTATGAAATTTGTTCTAACTGAAATCGGTGGTGATAAGTTTAACAGATTTTCAAGTACTTTTTATTTAGCAAAGAAATCACTTGGCCTCAAAGACCAATTTCATAGTTTCATATTTTGTACAAAATATCATAAACTTTATAACAGAGATAGAGCTCCGAACAGGTTGGGTCGGGTCGGGTAATTGACTTGACCCGACCTGATAAGGTCAGGTCGGGTCAGACATAAAATTGACCTGAATTAAA